AACAACCTCGTGCCTAACACGCCACTGCCGCTTCCATCCTCCAAATGCCATACACGGCACAGGCATCCCTGAGGAACCAGCGTGTCCTCACCAAGACCCACAAGAAGATGGAAGCGGGGGACACACGGGATCCTGTCTTCCGCAATTACATGAGGACCGCGGGGGTGCTGGCGATGCACGAACTGGAGGAGCGCCTTCGCCTCGCCAAGATTAAGACGCGGACAATCTTTGTACGTTAACTAGACCCTGAGGCATGGGTTTGGGGATTGGGATGGAACGTGAGGGCGGGGCAGGGAGTGGCAGGGTGACTGGGCACCTTATGGCAGGGAGGAGATGGCCGTGAGTGGGAGGGAGTGGTATGGCTTGGAAGGTCAAGGGACGGAATGGACAGTGATGGGAGGGAATGTATGGGCATGGCATGGAATGGGAGGGTATGGACAGGGACGGGAGGGAATGGATTGGGAAGGCATGGAATGGGAGGGTATGGACAGCGATGGGAGGGAATGGATGGGGATGGCATGGAATGGGAGGGTATGAACAGCGATGGGAGGGAATGGACGGGGATGGCATGGCCTGGGAGGGTATCCCAGGGATGGGAGGGAATGGATGGGGATGGCATGGAATGGGAGACTGCATTGACTACTTGGCTACCTCAGCTCTTAGGGTCCCATTTAATAAATGGGCATGGCATGGAATGGGAGGGTATGGACAGAGATGGGAGGGAATGGGAGGCCATGGACGGGGATGGGAGGAAATAGGAGGGAATGCACGGGGATGGGGGGGAATTGGAGGGAACGGGGTAGGAAGGAATCACTGAGAATGGGAGTGGGAGTGGGAGGGAAAGGGCCGCGAACAGCAAGCTCTCGCAGGATTTGGAGAGAGAGTCAGGGAATAGCAAGGAATGAGTCAAGTGGGACGGGGAGGGGGCCTTGGGAGCGGTACCAGTGGGATTGGTGGGGTTTGGCCAGTGAATGGCATGGAATGGCAGCAATTTGGTGGGACCGGGCTCTCTTTTTTCCACACCCTAAACCCTACCGTGGCCCCTCTGTCCACGTCTCCCCTCTATCCCCTCCTGAGCTCAATCCGTCTAATCATACAATATGACTATCATGTGCCATGGTACCATGCCTCCTTGCCAAGCGCTGCCCTCCCATCTACGATAATTCAAGGCACACTCGTGCCCCCTCTCTACACCCACCCGCCTTCCCTGAACTCCCCCCATTGCCCCCTACCCTAAACCCAGGTCCACACAGCCATGGCCATCCCCCCCCATGACAGCATGGAGTGGACCTCAAAGGGCCAGTTCGTGAAGGCGAGCCCTCACGAGCGCCTCTTCTCTGACGTCTCGATCAGGCCTGGCGGCGGCGTGGGGGAGCCGTGGTATGGTCGTGTCCTGGTGCTTTTCCATTACCAGGATGGGGAGGTGGAGAAGCGCGGGGCGTTCATCCAGTACTACACCGAGGCGCAGAAGCCTTGCCCCATCACCGGGTGCAAGCGCCTGACGCCAACCTTGGGCATCGACAACTATGCCGTTGTGGACGTGGACAGCATCCTGAGCCTTGCACATGTGGTTCCGTGCTGCACGGACCCGAAGTACCGGCTCGTTAACCGGTTTCTTTTCTGAACCACCGGTTGCGCTCTTATTTATGCATGACTTTGTTTAAATTGACCTTGTCTTAGAGGTTGACAATTGAGTGACTCGTACTGAGCATGATACTTTTAGTTTGCAGCGACAACCATTCACAGTGCTCGCAGCAGGTGATGACCCCACTAATAATATATCAACAAACCCTATCATTTTTATTTCCCACACATGATATATTCCATACATAAACAATTACGTTCGAACATAACAAAAAAAACACAGGAGTGTACTACGATTGGACAGACGCTTATCGCTTTGAAATCATAGGGTTTAGAAATCGTAGCTTTTGCAAAACATACATTTTACATTTACACCCTGCCAAATGCTACGCGAACGTTCTGCGAATGGTATTTGAATGTTCTGCAGATAGTCGGCATCCTCGCTCCACCTCGAATGGTTTTTAGATTGCCACTTTTTTGCGATGCGCTGTGCTGCTACGTATAGCAGCGCTCGAAGAGTAGTCATGTTCGGGGTCGGGGCGAAGGTCTGAAAGAAGTCCACATCCTCACGCTTATTGAAGCCTCTAGCCACGTAGAGCGGCTCTCCAGGGGGGCGCTTCATCTTGTAGAGCCACCGGCCATCGACTACGTTCACCCAAGGTGGGGGAACTAGGTCGACGTACCGTAGGTGCCGGTGGATCTCCAAGATGCCATCTCCTGCTCCATGGCAGCTATTCACTAAGAGGCCCAGGGTCCCGAGGTCGCCTCAGCGTAAGTGCAAGGGGTCGGGATGTCAAGGGCGTCTGGGTCACGCTCAGGGACTAGCGACAACAACAACAAGAGCATCAAGACTCGAGACAGGAACTGAGAGGTCGGTAACAAGGGAGGTAAGGACCCCAGGAACAAGAGGACGAGCGACACGAAGGTAGTCAGACAGAGGAGGCGGAGCGACAACGAGCGACGGCGAAGGAGGCGAGGGGAGGAGGGGGGGACAAGACGCGTGGGAACAGAGCAACATGGGGTGAGAGCGCTGGACAGGAGAGACAGGACGAGCACGAGAGGGACAGTGAGACCAGAAGTGAGACGGAGGTGTCGGGTCTGGAGACAGAGGAGGGGACACAAGAGGGGAACAAGGGGGGAAACGAGCCGGGGACGAGTCCGACGGAGGAAACACAGGGCCGTAGACAGGCAGAGGAGGCGGCGTCGGGAGAGGCGGCGGCGGCTGTAGAGGCGGCGGCGGGAGGGCGGGTGGTCAGGTGAGGGAAGGCCGAGCAGGCGAAGGGCGGACACTGGCGACGACTGCTGCTGTGGCTGCTCAACACTGACACCAGAACCACCAGCTGCACCACAGTTAAATCTGGAACGCTCCACTCCAGCACCCCAAGAACAAGAACCCACTCCAGCACTGGTGCCACCCCCGAGACCGTCGGGACAAGCCACGACAGGAACCCCAGAACTAGCACCCCCAGATCGAGAACCCTCTCTGGTACTGGTGCCACCCCCAAGATCGCCGGGACAAGCCACAAAAGGAACCCCAAGACTAGCACCCTCCTCAACGCCCGCACCCCCAGAGTCCACGGACGGCTGCTGCTGCGGTGGCGATGGCGGCGGCTACTGCTGCGGCTGTGACGACGGTTGTGGCTGCTGCTGTGGCGGCGGGGGCGGCGGTTGCTGCGACGGTGGAGGAGGAGACACCGGGGGAGCCACAGGTGGCGAAAACTGCGCCGCAAGGCCTCCAGAGTCAACCGACGGGAGTGGAGTGACGTGAGACACACCAAACGGAGCAGGACGGGGAGGGAGGGGAGCAGGGAATACCGAGGGAGTGGGAACCAGAAACAGGGGTGAGGAAACGGGAAGACCTCGGTGGGGAAAGCGGTGGTAAAAGGAAACTGGCTCGTCGAAAGTGGCGTTATGGGAGTGAAAGAAGCGGTGAGACGACGTGTGGTAAAAGTGCAGTCAGACGAGTCAAGGAGGAAACCGAGGAAGACACAAGGGACAGTGCGGGCAGTGAGCTTGTCCGTGCCAGAGGCACGAGCGTGAGCAAGCCAGCCCCAGACGTGGAACGCAGATGCGTCAAAAGGGAACCCGATCCAAAGAAGGGTCGGCGAAACCTGCGGCCGCTGGGAGTGCGGCGTAGCGAATAGCGAACGACCACAGAAAATTGGGTGCACCGACATGGACCATGGAGGTACGAGCAACCTACATGACCAAGCCGATGCATCACTCAGTGTCCCCATTCTCCTGCAGAGAGTCTGGTAGGATGTAAGACTGGGTGATGCCCTCCGCACGACAGAACTGTCCAAACCGACTAGAGGCGAACTCGCCGCCGCTGTCGGACTGGAGACGCAACACAGGGAGACCGCGGTGGAGGCGCGCAGCTACAACCCACGGAATAAGAACGCCAAGCACGTCGGCCTTCCGCTCCAAGGGTTACATCATGGTGTAGCGCGTGTAGTCATCGATGAGCACGAGAAAGGAGCGCTCGCGTCGCGGTCCAGGGACGAGGGCCGGGCCCCAAACGCCCAGGTGCAGTGTCTAAAGTGGCGAGGTGCTAGGACGAAGCGAGGAGGAGTGAGGGGCATGGCGTAGTCGTCCCTCGACGCAGGGAGTGCACGGCGGTGCAGGCGAGGGAGGGAGGGCAGGAAGCGGCGCAGGGAGACCTAGGACGAGGCCGTGCTGAGACATGTGACGCAGACGCGAGAGCGCAGGGTGACCTAGGCGGTGGTGCCACAGAAGCGACGGGTGAGTGAGCGAACGACACGAGCAAGCCGCAGTGACCTGGGTAGACGCAGGACCCGGGGGGGACGTGCCCACCGAGGGGGAAGCAGTGTCCAGCGTAAACAGGCCAGACACTGGGTCTCGCGGTAACGTCGCAAGGGGGGCAAGGCGGTCTCGGTACAGATAGCGTACCGCTCGTGACTAGGGAACGTAGTGGTGACGCTGAGGTAATGAAGACAGCCAACACCAACTAGGTTCTTGGAGAACGAAGGGATGTGCAGGTCTGTAAGGGAACCCAAGGGAACCCCAAGGAACCGCTGGAAAGGGAAGGGTAGTGTAGCTACTGGCCACGACAGGACCAGAGGAGGGGTCAGCAAGCGCGACAGCGGCAAGCGCGGCGAGCGGCGAGAGCGCAGTATGGTCGTGGAAGAAGCAGGCAGACACGCAGGAGTTATGAGTAAAGGAGAGAGAATCGGTAGCTGCGGCCAGCGGCGTGGAGCCAAGAGAAAACAAGGCAGAAGGTCCTACGCCTGACAAAGCAGGGGAGTCTGGACTATACACAGGAGGCACACCTAAACTAGGCAATACTGGGTAATAAGGTCCGGACACACTATAAGCATCAGAATACTGGGAATGCAGAGCAACACAAATCTGTTTTTTTTTCTAACTCAAAGACAGACACACCGTGGCGCAGTAGACTGAGAGTGCAGGGCAGCAGGGTGTTCCATGTGTTAGGGAACACAGTGCATTCAGTAGGTCAGCAGCAACAGGACCTGACGCACGCCATGAGGCAGAGCTTGTAACACTTAAAAATCACTTCACAAGACCAACTTAGACATTGGAAACATGGCTGCAGTGGCAGCAAGAATGGGATGGCATACATATGGCTGCAGTGGCAGCAAGAATGGGATGGCATACACATGGCTGCAGTGGCAGCAGGAATGGGATGGCATACACATGGCTTCAGTGGCAGCAAAAATGGGATGGCATACACATGGCTGCAGTGGTAGCAAGAATGGGATGGCATACACATGGCTGCAGTGGCAGCAAGAATGGGATGGCATACACATGGCTGCAGTGGCAGCAAGAATGGGATGGCATACACATGGCTGCACTGGCAGCAAGAATGGGATGGCATACACATGGCTGCAGTGGCAGCACGAATGGCTGCGTATCTGTGCAACCAACAGGTTCTGAGATTGAAGCGCTAGAAGCAGCACCTGGGAGCAAGTAGGTGGGGCGTGACTGCAAGCGTGACTGCAACCCTGCTAGGGCCTCCTGTGGAAAACTAAGACGTTGCTGCTGCTCCGGCTTCAGCTGCTTGGGCTGTGTACTTCAGCTGCTTGGGCTAGGTACTTCAGCTGCCTGCGTCAACAGCAGCACTGGCAGCAGCACCAGGCACAAGTGGCTTCTCCTCGGAAGGAAGAGAAGCAAAGGGCGAGAGCAGCAGGTTCACCTTTCCAGAGGTCCGCAGAGTGATCATGGCACGGGGAACAGGGGTGGGGAATCCATGGGGCAGGGAGAGCGAGGAGGACTGGAGGATGCGGGAGAGCACGAGGGAGGCCTCCAGCAGAACGAACCCCATGCCGATGCAGTTCCTGTCACAGTGCTGCTGCTGCTGCTGCGCCTGCGTCCGCTTCTGCTGCTTCTGCGTTTGCTGCAGAATTCCGCACAGCTCCGCTAGTCACAGGCGGGCTTTCCACAGGCGAAAGAGGGGGAAGCGGCGAGAGCAGCAGGTTCACCTCCCCAGCGGGCCGCAGAGTGATCATGGCTCGGGGCACGGGGGTAGGACTCCCCGAGGGCAGGGAGAGCGAGAAGGACTGGAGGATGCGGGCGAGCACGAGGGAGGCCTCCAGCAGAGCGAACCCCATGCCGATGCAGTTCCTGGGACCCCCTCCGAACGGCCAGTAAGAATCGTTGTCTGTGGGGGGTGGGGCGTCACCACCAGGCAGCCAGCGGGAGGGGTCAAATGACAGGGCTCTGCGAGGGGGGAAGGTGAGGGGAGGGGGAGGAGAAGGAGACGAGGGAGCATGGGGGTCACATGCGGTAGAGGCAAGCACGAGGGAGGCCTCCAGCAGGGCGAACCCCATGCCGATGCAGTTCCTGGGACCCCCTCTGAACAGCCAGTAGGAGCCCTTGTCCGTGGGGGGTGCGGCGTCACCCCCCGGTAGCCAGCGGGAAGGATCAAATGATAGGGCTCAGGAAGGGGAGGGGAAGATGGATGGGAGGGGAGGAGCAGAGGGGTCACACGGGGCAGATGCGAGCACGAGGGAGGCCCTCCAGCAGGGCGAACCCCATCCCAGTGCCGATTGGCCAGTAGGAGACGTTGCCAATGGGGGGTGAGGCGTCACCACCAGGCAGCCAGAGCGCTGGGTCGAATGACAGGGCTCTGTATGGGAGAGGAGTCTATTTTTGAGGTGACTTAAAAATAGACTCCTCACGCATGGTGTATGGGAGAAAGGTGGGAGGGAGGGGAAAAATGAGGAGGGATGGAGGAGCATAGGGGCCGCATCGGGTAGAGGTGAGCACGAGAGAGGCTTCCAGCAGGGCGAACCCCATCCCAATGCAGTTCCTTCCTGGGTCCCCCTCCATACGGCCAGTGGGAGTCGTTGTCTGTGGGGGGTGGGGCGTCTCCACCGGGTAACCAGCGAGAGGGGTCAAAGGAGGCGGCCCTGGAGGGGAGGAGGGGAGGAGGAGTGGGGAGAGGGGGACAAAGGTGCACGGGGGTCACATGGGGTAGAAATTTAGCATTACGCCTCCCCAACCTGGCCTGCAGATAGGCCCACCCAGGCGTAGGCATAGCCCTACCCCTAATCTCACCTGGGCCAGTGGGTGCTGTCCCGGTGCAGCAGGTATGGGCTGACCAGCACAGTGGTGCCTTGGGGCACCCGCCACTCCCCTAGGTGCGTCTCCCTGCACGCACAGCGCCCCACAATGTAGGCGGGGGGCATCAGGCGCAGCGTCTCCCATATCACCGCCTCCAGGTACCTGCAAGGATGAGCGGGCAGGGATGGAAAGGCATGCATGGGAGACCCGCCACTCCCCCAGGTGCGCGTCTCTCTGCACGCCCACCGCCCCACAATGTAGGCTGGCGGCATCTGGCGGAGAGTCTCCCAGATGACCGCCTCCAGGTACCTAACGGCGTGGAGTGGACAAGGAGGAGATTTTTGAGTCGACTCAAAAATCACCGGCGTGGAGTGGACACGGAGGAACGCATCGTGGTATGGTATGGTCCGTGTGTTATGAGTCTATTTTTTAGTCGACTAAAAAACCGACTCATTACACAATGAATAGTGGTATGGATGGAGTTGCAAGGGTGCTCCTAGGGAGGAAGGAGCATGAAACGAAACTGAACCCTATGGGAGTGTGCCTTGGACCTGGAGCACGGCAAATCCCTTAGGGATGGGAATGGAGCAACAGCGTGCTCCATCAAACCGAGAGCATGGGCAGCCTGCATGGCCCTTGTGCTGCCCACATGTTGGATCGGACAATGAGAATTCTCAAAGATCGCAGTTGGCTTTTCATGTGAATGGTTTATGAGAGTCTTGAAAACCAGCAAGGAGGGGTATCGGCCCTTGTGCTACTCACATCAAACCGAGTGCATTGGCATCATTGCCCACCGCCCCCCCCCCCCCCCCCCCCACCCCCCTCTCACTGACTTCAGCTTAGGCACATCAGCGTGTGTTGGCGCCCTTCCCCCCACCACCTCCCTCACTTCCTCTATCGCTCTCCTCTGCTCCTCGGGGTGCAGGGCCAGCTGCACGCACACCCACGCCAGGAGAATGGCGGAAGTCTCCTGGCCCTGGGGGGAAGGGGGAAAGGGTTAGAATGGAGAGGGAATAACTAGTGAATCCACTCCCAAGCAGGCGGTACTAAACCACACCAAGCAGAGGACCCTCCCCCCACACACAGCCCCCGCCCCCCCTCCCCAGCACCACCACCACAAGCCAGACCGCACTGCACCGCACCATACCGCAACAAGCAGGGTCATGAGCTCGTCTCTCAGGGCCTGGTAGTCCATGCCCGAACCGTCTTCATCCCGAGCCTGTCGGAGACATAGGAGGTGCGGAGAGGGTAAGAGGCTCAGAGATCGCAGCAGCATCCAGGCAGGGATGAGCAACACCCATCCCCATCCCCAGCGGCAGCACCTAGTGAACAACTTGACACTTAGTGTTTGACCACAACTGCAATGCCCTTCAATGGCAGCAGCTGCAGATACAGCGGCAGCAGCGGCAGCAGCTGCAGATACAGCGGCAGCAGCGGCAGCAGGCTCACCAGCAGCAGCCGAGTGAACAGATCCTTCCTCCTAAACCCCTCCTAAACCCCTCCTAAACCCCTCCACCTACACCTGCACTCCCCTCGGCCCCCCACCCAGAGATGTACTTTCCAGGCTTCTAGGAAACAGTGGCAGCAGGCTCACCAGCAGCAGCCGAGTGAGCAGGTCCTTCCCCTCCTCCCCATCTGCACCCCCCTTCGCACCCCACCCCACCATCTCCCTCCTCCTCTCCTCTATCAACCGGTACACCACACCGTTTAGCCGCTGCACCGCTGCTGTGTACTGGAGATTGTCAGGCGTGGGGAACCACTCCGGGACTGCAGGTAGAAGGGGGGCGTAGGGAAGGGAGTGCTCTTCTTTTTAGAATTCTCAAAAACAACACACAGGGAGAGCGTGGGCGGTGGAAAGAAAATGAGCAGGATGTGGAAGGCGAGTCTGTAGGCCACACCACCCCATCCCGCCCATCTCCTCGAGGTAGATCATGAAAGGCGGAAGCGCAAGTCAGTGATACAAGGGGCTTGTCTCTCTGCTGCTGTGTGCAGGAGGCTGTCAGGCACGGGGAACCACTCAGGGATTGCCGATAAGGGAGGAGGGGAGGGAGGGGAGAGGAGTGAGGGGAGTAGTGGCGGTGGGGAAGGAATGAAAAGGAGGGAGCATGTTGGTGGCTCGCTTGGCATTGAGCTCATGGGGTGAGCAGGAGGATGGGGGAGGGGGAGAGAAGAGAAGGAGAGAATGAGATCCACTCAACTGATGAGCATGCTGGTGGCGCGCTTGGCGAAGAAGTCAAACGCGGTAGAGATGGCCGGCCCCACTTCCGCCATCGCCGCTCCTCCACTCCCACCAGTTCCACCCGCACCACTCCCACCTCCCCCAAACAGCGCCTCCACCACTATTCCCATGGTCAGAACATTAAAATCCGAATACACATCCCGCACCACTCCATCCCTGCCCCTCCCTGTGTCAGCCTCTCTAAGGCTGCCCACCCACGTGCCCCCCACCGTGTCATCTGCCAGACGAGCCATGGCCTAAAGAGCAGGGGAAGAATGAAGAAAGAAAGGAGAAAGGAAGACTTCTCGAAAACCATTTTAGGTGAGATGAGAGACAGCTTCGTGCAGCGCTACCCACTCAACACGCCGTCCGTTCGTGCCAGGAGAGGGCCTCCTTCGACGCTGCCCATCCTCTAAGGCTGTTCGTCCACGTGCCCCCCGCCATGGCATCCGCCAAACGAGCCATGGCCTGAAGCGCAGGGGTGTAGGGGGGGGTGGGGGAGGAGTCTGTTTTTGAGGCGCCTCAAAAACAGACTCCTCACGCAGGGGTGAAGGGGGGGGTGGGGGGGGTGTAGGGGGGGGTGGGGGGGATGAAGCAGCGATAGGCGAGTAAAGATCATCCACGTGGTGACTTTTGAGTCGACTCAAAAGTCACCTAGTAGCGATAGGAGAGAAAAGCTCATCCACGTGCCAGCCACCACGCTCCTCCGAAAGCTGAGGCATGGCCTGGCGGAGGGGCATGGGAAGGAAGATACGAGAGAGTACGGGAAGGCATTCGCCTGCATTGAAGCCATAAGCTGGACAGCCCGGAACTAGGCATGGGATGATCAGAGCAAGGTCAGGGAAGTTGTTATTTGCAATCACCAACCCATCCACCAAGAGGTATGCGGGCGACCAGATGGGATGTGGTGGCGTATGAATGAACGCCGGCCTTCCTGAAAGCAGCGTTGGACAGCCGGCGCTGCCGCCTCCACACCCCACCAATATCAGCACCATGCACCCAAGGGGAATTACAGGCCGACGGACAACCCACCGAGGCATATGACTGGACGGCGGCCTTCCGGAAAGCAGCGTTGGACAGCCGGCGCTGACGCTTCCACACCTCCCCATCGCTCACTAGGAGACCATTGCCCGTCAGACTGCTGCCGGGGAAGAAGGCTGTGCCAGCCTGGAGGGAGGGAGCGAGAACAGAAAAAGCGTTTGAGTTTACTGCACAGCTATGCACTAGCAGGCCATCACGGTTCGGAAGACCTTTGACTTTGCTGCTACCAGGGAAGAAAGATGTGGCTCAGGCTGTTTTTTAGGTGATGCTGGTACGTCTCACACACCACGGAAACCGAAAGCAAAGCGGAAGATTGAGAGGAAACGGTGTGCGGAACTGACTAGTCCTCTAAGTTGTTTTTAGCCCGACATTATTCGCAGCACTTCCACTTCCACACGGTTCTGAGATCCTAAACCTACGTAGCTCAACTTGATTTGCAAAGTCGTCCTATGCCGAGTAGCTCCATGCATCCGGTGGAGCGAAACGGCAAGTCTCGGACCTCCTACACGGTGGAATATCGCACTTAGGAACCGACCGGAAAGGGGAAATGGAAGCGGTGGAATGGATTCCGGAGAGTGAAGGGGGTGGTCGTACGTGTTTCAGAGGATGGAGTTCTCGATCCTGCCAAACGACATGCTCCATTGCCAGAATCTCAAAGCCAGGCCTTGCTGTGGCGGAGGAAGCCTTGAAATTCTGGCAGTGGGGCATGACGTCTGGCAGGATCTAAACCTCCATCCTCTGCAGCACGTACGACCACCCCCTTCACGATCAGCAGCCCATTCCACCACTTCCTCTTCCCGTTTCCCATCGGTTCCCGTTTCCGGTTCCACTGGCCTTGTGGAGCTAATTGTCACAAGGCGATTGCGGACCCCTCAGATTGCCGTCAGATTGCTGCCAGAGAGGCATTTTTCGTTTGTTTAAACATAAAAAAAAGGTTTAATACACATATAACTGTCAACACATGCGCTGTGCACAAGCCACCAGCCCCACCCCTTCCCCCTCCTCTCACCCTCCTTTTTCTTCCCCTTTAAACGAGCACACCTTAATGAATACATCTGATTGTGTGACCAGCACCTCCCGAGCCAACTGGCTGCCATGACAAGTAGTGCACGCGGGGAAGGAGATGCAGGTGATGGCACGGGTATAGGTCAAGAAGGCTCGTGATAACGCAGACAATGACTCCAGATTGTGTGACCAAGACCTCCCAGCCAACTGGTAGCCATGTGTACTAGAAGTGGAATAACGAGAAGGAGGGATAAAGCATAAGTGCAGAGATGGATGAGAGTGAGAGCGATGGATGAGAGGAGATGCAGAGTGATACGGAAGAGAGGAAGGGAAGAGGCAGCTGAACCAGATCCAGAAAAGACACGCACGGGTTGCTTATAACGAGTACGGGTTCTCCGACCAATCTGACTGTAGCTATGCCACCTGGATAGTCCCTTGCCACGTCATCCAGGAACGCGAGTGGATCTGACGCCAGCCGGATTGCTGAGTCAGCAGCAGGGCCAGGTGGCAGCCCAGGTGGCAGCGGTTGGAGAAGCTTCTGCACACGTGTCACAGCATCAGCGATGCTGCTGCTGACGCTGGCAGAGAGGTTCGCCTGAGAACAAAAGGGGAAGAGGGAGAGAGATGGGAGAGAGGAGGAGTGCGATGTGGTTGGAGGAAAGACTAATGCGCTCCTTCCATCAACCATGGAAAGGCGATGGAAAGAGAGGGGGGGGGGGGGGGGGGGGAGCGCGTTCAGAGAAGTGAGGCGAGGAGAGACTGGCAGGGAGAGTTGTGAAGCACGTGCGGAGGTCAGAAGCGTGAGATGCGGAGATGAGGAGAGTGAGATGTGGAGCTCGGGAGCGTGAGATGCGGCGGGGATAACGGAGGCTCACCTGCGACTGCGCTACAGCTCCAGCAAGCGCCGCGATCAGCTCCGCCTCTGGCGCCGACAGCGGCAGACCAGGAAACGGCGGCGGCCAAGACGCGTTTCGTGAATCCGTAGAACCTTCCCGAGGTGAACCTCGAGACGAACCTCGAGACGAACCTCGAGATGAACCTCGAGACGAACCTCGAGATGAACGTTGAGATCCAACGCCCACGGGCGACTTGGGCTCGGGGCTCGTCGGAACGTTCCGGGAAGACCTCCCATTTAATCCGTTACCACGATCCGACGGCTCTGGCGACACGATCTTCGGTGATCGCTCAGCTGCTGCAAAATCCAACGGCTCTGAATGCACTTCCGGCGATGTCTGCTGCTGCATGCTAGTAGGGGCCTTCCAGGAACTCGCTCGGTTGACGGCGCGCCTAATAGCACGCGCTTTGGATCGCCTTCCTGTGAATGCATCTGAGCCGTCGATCGAGCGGTTTGTGGTCGCAAGTGCACGGGCAACGGTCGAGATTCGACAGCTGTGCTTCGAGGCGCGGTGGAGCGAGCTAGACTTCTTTTGGAAAAGTGCAGCGCGAGCAACGGGGTGTGGAGAGGATGACATCATGTTCGCAGCGAACATACTCAATAGTAGAGGGTTACTAATAGTACTACCAGTAGCAGTAGTGTTCCTGCTAGCAAGCACATTGCTAGGCGTCGCCATGACGGCGTTCGGAGACCTTCAGGGTGTAGTTCACAAATCCGCTCCGCAGCTGCCTCTGGTGCTGATCGCGCGGGGGGATGTCAATGGAGGAAATGGCATCACCAGAAGTAAGCAGCCGCCGTCGAAATTCGTAAGGAGTTTCACTTGCTTGGCTTGCGTCGCTTGCTCATTTAGTACGCTGGTTGCCACATGGAGAGCTGAGGATGAAATAACTCGGATCAATGCATGCACGCATGCACGGCTGTCGGCCCTGCCGTGGCGGCTGGCGGGCAGCGGAACCGCTGTCTGCCACGGTGCCGAACCGCGGATTGTTGGGAACATCGAAGAGTGGAAATCCTCGTTACAGGGTCTTTGGGTTTGCTTCACCGCGTAGACCACAGCGCTTTCACATTACGGCTTAGGTTACACCAATCTGTTCCAAGAAAGAATAGTGGTGTTGCAACATCCCACATCATCAAAGCTCACCATGTACAGGCATTCAGAAGACATCATGGTACAAGCGAATACTGAACAAGAGCTTTATGCGTGCAGCAACGAGAGGTTCATGCACTAGGACTGAAGAGACCTTAGTATGGCCAAAATTGGGAAAAGCGCCAGAAGAAATCCTCTTGAACGCCGAGCCTACATCATCACCTCAGCTTGCTCGCTTCCATTCCCTGATACGTTTGCTCCGTGCAACATGCCCCTATATCACCATCTTGTCCATCATACATCATTGTCCATGAGTGGAGAAGGCGGATTTATCTTCCAACTTGACCCTCTCCTCTCCATCATCACATCTTCTCGGCATCCTCTCCCCGGGCATGTCAAACTTCTCTGCAAACTTTTCCACAGCTGCCCGGAGCTCCTGCACTTCACCCGAATCAGCCAGCTGATCCAACGCCCCTGCTCCTGCTGCCACTGCTGCTGCCGCCATTACACTCCGCGACCTCTTCCCTCCGATAATCTGCGCCCCACTCTTTCCCCCAGGCCCCATAGCAGCAGAAACAGTAGCAGCACCACCACCAGAAGCAGCACCAGCACCAGCAGCCGGACCTGCACTAGCAACACCGCCGCCATTAGAGGTGGGAACAGACAGCATCCCGGTACCAGGGGGAGAAGGCGAGCCCGAGGGGGAGGGCGAGAGGGAGAGCTGCAGGCGCTGCGAGTGCAGCGAGCGCTGGGCAATCTGCACGGCTCTGACGAGGAAATCGGCGATGCGGTCCATGTCTGCTTCCTTGCAGCCACGCGTGGTCATGGCTGGAGTGCCTGGGAGGGACAGAAGAGGGAGAGGAGGCACATGGCAGAGGGAGGGAAACTTTGAGGGCGCATGAACTGAGGAAGCTTCCAACAGGGAGGGAACCTTTCAACTGGCACAACAGCAGACGGGCGCATGAACAGACGAAGCAACAGGAAAACAAGAAGAACCAATACGGAGCACAGCAATAAAGCCTACAACGAGAGGCCGAAAGCTGGCTACTCACCAACGCGCACGCCGCCAGGAAGGGCGGAGTTGTCCCCAAAGACGGCGTTCTTGTTAAGCGTGATGCTGCACAGCTCGCACACCTTCTCAAACCGCCCGCCCGTCAGCCCCAGCGGCCGCAGGTCCCACAGCAGCAGGTGGTTGTCCGTGCCGCCCGTCACAATGCGACAGCCGCGCCGCGTCAGCGCTGCTGCTAAGGCCCTGGCGTTGCGCTTCACCTGGATGGTGCGGGAGACGGGAGACGCGGCGGGGAGGATAGGTCAGCAAACCAGCTCGAAAACCCTCTGACTGAGGAACACATGCGACATCTGCCGTACAGTGCGGCTTCCAGGAAACCAGGCAAAAAACCAAGCGAAAATACAAGCGAAAAAACAAGGAGCGCAGAAAGAACCAAAGAGCCTGTGTATTGTATCTTACCTGGATCATGTAGGCGCGGAACGCGGGGGACCCCGCCTGCTTGAGCGAGACGGCGAGAGCGGCCGTGTGGTTGTTGTGCGGGCCGCCCTGCATGGACGGGAACACCGCGAAGTTGATCCGGTCCTCCAGATCGTACACCGGCACCTGCGCTGACGGCGGAGGCGAAGCTCCCGCTACCCCTGCCGCTGCTCCCCCTCCCCCTCCACCCCCTCCGCTTCCCGCGGCGCCATTTTTACAACAGCTGCTATTGCCACAACAACATCGCCCGGTGCTCCCGCCTGATGTCGACGCGCCACCGTTGTTACTCGCAGCTTCCCCACCACTTGTACCGGCACCGGTTGCGCCGGCTACGCCGGCCGCGCCCATAGTGGCGGAAGCGGCGGCGGCGCTGCGGGGGAAGACGATCGGGCCGCGACGGTAGAAGACGAGGCCGCCTCTGGGCCCCCGGAGAGTCTTGTGCGTCGTGCTGGTAACCACGTCGGCGAAATCAAAAGGGCTGTTACACTCCTGCGCGGCGACGAGTCCGCTGATATGCGCCATGTCGCACATGAGAATCGCGCCGCACTTGTCCGCGATCTTGCGACACCGCGCGAAGTCCCACTCGCGCGGGTAGGCGCTTCCGCCTACCACCAGCAGGCGCGGGCGGTACTCCTGCGCCTTCTCCTCCATGCGCTCGTAGTCCACTAATCCAGTAACGGGGTTCACCTTATAAGGAAGCGTTTCGAAGTAAATCGACGCGCCCGAAACCTTTTTCCCGCCGTTGGTGTAGAACCCGTGGCTCAGATGCCCCCCGGACGGCAGATCTAATCCCATGATCCGATCTCCTGGCGACAGGAGCGCCGTGTAAACCGCGAAATTCGCGGACGTGCAAGAGTACGGCTGTACGTTCACTCCCCACCGTTGCGGGTCGAGATGAAACGCCGCGAGCGCGCGCTCGCGGCACAGAGTCTCCACCGCGTCGATCCACTGGTTCCCGCCGTAGTACCGCGCGCCGGGCATCCCTTCCGAGTACTTGTTCGTTAGCGGACTCCCTAACGCCTCGAGAACCGCCTGCGAGGTGAAATTCTCCGAGGCGATTAACTCCAGGCAGCTCCGCTGGCGCCGCTTCTCCCCCTGGATTAATCGCCAGATGTCGGGATCTGCTTCTTCTAAGGAGGAGTTACCCCATACGCTAACGGGCTCGAAGGCAGCTACGTCATGTGCGCTAGATCGCGAGGTCACGACGGGGACGATAGCGCCGTTACCGGGTGAACCGCCGCTGCTCGCCTCGCCAACTGCCTCTAGCGGCATTCGCACGACGGGCTTGGAATCGACGTCGCCGTCGCCGTCGCCGGCGTCGCCTGCGAACTCGCGAATGGGACGAACGCACGGAGCGCTAGACGACCTATGCTGCTTGTTGGAGCGCTGTGATTCGTCCTGCGACTGCTGCGATTGTTGCTGCGACTGTTCGAGGCTCGGCGACGGGCTCAGGAAGACAAAGGTGGGAGTCAACTCCCTGTCGTTCGCAGGCATACCGGCGCCGAACGACGGCGAGCGAGGCTCCTCCTTCGCAAAAAAAGGCTGCGGCGAATCGCGATGCGAGTGGTCCTGCTGCATGTGCTGCTGTAACGGTTGTAGCGGCTGTAGCTGCTGTGGCTGCTGTTGCTGCTGTGGATGAAGCCTTGCTTGATCCTGCTGCTGGGGAAGCAAAAAAGGGTGAGAGGAGTTGTAAGAAATGGCGGAGCGGTCAGGCGAGTTGCATCCCATGTGCGGGTTTAACTTGCAGGCGAACGCCGCTTGCTGCGGGAGAGCCTCGGAACGCGAGGAGGAGACGGCGGCGGAAAACGCGGAAGGCGAACTGAAGAAGTTGAACGAGGAGGATGTGGTTGATGGTTCGGGCTTGGTTGAAATCTCAGTCTCAGGCTTCAGGATTGAGGTGGGGATGATGGTGGGGGAGGTGTTATGGCTGGTCTGCAGCAGCTGGAGAGTAGGCGAAGGAGCCATGCGCATGCCACAGTTCTAGCCTCGCAGCCGTTTCTTGCGAACCGGTTCTAGCCTCGTAGCCGTTTCTTGCGAACAAGCTTTCGTCCTCAACGTAAACAAGATACAACGCAAGAAGAAAAGCTCGACGAAAAAATATTCCTGACAGTCCAAAAATTGCAAGCTAGCGCTGAGACAGTCTCAGAGTCGTTTGAACAAGGCAGTTGGACTGGAGAGATCCCCTTATCCTGTAAACCAGGCAGGATTCTCAAAAGCACCTAGGGTTTCCGGAAGAACAGGAAACAAGGCACAGAGACACCTCGAAAATACGAAGAGTCTGTCTAGTGGGCGTGAACCAACTCCAGAGGACCTCAGTCACCAGCCGCAGCCTTACAGCGCAGGAGGAAGTGGGTGTGACGTGGATGTGGAAGGATGACTGAGTCACATGGAATATGCGGCCCTTGCTGGAACCAAGCCTTAGTGTGCAGCTGAAAGCAACCACATACGCTGAACCTGGGCGTGATTCTAGGGGACCTGCTCAGCAGTTGACAGACAGTGACAACGAGGAGGTGAGGAAGAGGTTGGGGAGGAAGAGAAGGAAGAGGAGGAAGAGGAGGAAGGGGAGAGGAGGAGGGGGAGTGGGGGGGAAAAGATGCGGCGGTTTCGCGAGAAGGCACTGAGAGCAGGATAGTGGTTCAAGGGGTGGGGTCCAGCGAGGCTGGGTATGGTGCCGTACTATTGGCTGATTTTGCCACGGTGGCAGGTATGGAATTTATTGCGCGATGAGGCTGCAGCAAGTTCCATTCTAGGGCTTTTCCCCGTCCCAGCAGCATGGTGGAGTGGAGACTCCGCCATCGTTGGATGGGTGAGGAGGGGGGAGGTGGGGGGGGGGGTGGGTGGGGGTTGGGGGGGGGCTGTTGTGGGATGCTAGAAGCAGTCCAGCTTTTGGCTGTTGGGAAGGGACGACTGCATAACTTTTGGGTACAGTACCAGATGCTAGACCTCATGTTGATGATGATGACGATTCGGCTGCGTGGTTCTCTCTTCATTTTCGCGCCTGTCATAAAATTTCTTGGCATTCCACGTGGAGTTAGGAGAGTGGGGCTGCCTGATTTCTCCAGGAACACCGCAGCAGGGCAGCGTAACTAAGATTGGGGTTTTGTGAACAAAGTTCTGTGTGTAAGCTGCTTCACGCGAAACTCCATGCACATCATTTTGATGGCTCATGTATTCGCTGAATCTGGCCAGACCAGTTGACGCTACGGTAAAGTGAAAGGTCTCCTTGGAGGACAGACACTGAAAGTTTATGGGCAGCCGAGGTAATTCCAAACTCGAAACAAGGTTCAGTGATCATTGGCTCTCTTGATATCCCAAGCGTCAACCGCCCACTCTTGAGTGACAGGAGGATGCTTGCGGGCAGAAGAGGGAGAAGGCGGTGGTGCTGTCTCCTTCCTGTCAGGGATCAAAGAAACATCACGTGCGGTGAAATGTCCAAGCGCCGCCCCGCCTATCGTTCGTTTGGCATAAGTCGTATATGCTCTTAGCGCGATCCGGACAAGTCGCCCGAACTACACCCTAAACAAACTATCTATGTATGATACCACGATGTACGCCCCAACACGGATGATGTGAAGCAGTTTTCGAGGTTCGAAATTTGCTGAAAGCCAAACAATCATTTCAACCATACTGAGCCTCCTGGAATACGGGTTTGTAACGATCACCGGAATATGCAAGGCTGGAATACGGAACGCGGTGCAGAAAGGACACCTACTTGCAGATGCAGGCAAAATCCTCTCAACTCTCGGTCCGTGTGAATTCCAGCTTTCTAGCAAGAAGTTGGGGATAGTGAAGAGTGGGGCAAACCCAACTCTGTGAAAACGCCCATATTTCGGGAATGAAAAGAATTTTTTGAATACCTAATATGTGTCTGTGCCTGACCACAAAGAAAACAACTTGTTCCACGACCAGTTGTTCTCCAAGGGCGTATGTTCCTTCCATAAACCAAGGAACTCGAACAGGCAAGTGCTCTTGAAAGAGGTTGAAGCCTAAAAAAAGCTAGGCATAGGAGAATGTCGAGAGGTTTAGCTAGGGGGGAAGAGTTACGAGAGAAAAGAGTGATAACTAAGAAGAGAAAGAGATACAAGGGGGGGGGTTGTCCCCTCTACAGTAGGATCCAGCAATGTATCACACCTACCAAGCCTAAACATATATATATATATATATATATATAATTTGACACACCCCCTAGGCTTGGTAGCCGAAAGCCCACCCAACACGCAACACCCTCAAACCCTTGCACCCCCATGCCCTTCAGCAGCTGTGGCGTCTACCACTCGTGCGAAGCGGTGACACCCCCGGCAGGTGGCAGCACAGGCGTCTGCGGCGGCTTCAACGACGACGACAGCGGCAGCGGCGGAGCGGGTGGCGGCGGAGCCAGCTGCACCTGCATCGGCGGTGGCGGCTTCGAGGACGGCGGCGGCGACTGCTAAGCTCGCAGCACCAGGCGGTGTGGCACGACCTGGCGTCGCTCGGGAAGAGAATCATCAGCTGCAGCTGGAATGAGGGGTGGCGCGGGGGAGGGGGGGGCGTAGCTTCAGCGAGGAGCCCTGGCTGGCGCGCTGGCTGTCATGTGGGCGTACGGCTGGCGCCTAAAACATTGCGTGACCCGCTGCCGCCCGTGCGATGACGTGTCGACGACGCTACGGCAGCACGACGACGCCGTCACGGCGTGGCGTCGATGCCACGGCAGGACGTCAACGCTGTCACGGCAGCACGACGACGCCGCCATGGCAGCGCGTCGAGGCTGCTACGGCAGCACGACGAAGCCACCATGGCAGCACGGCATGGCTGCCACGGCGGCGTGGAAGTGACAGGAGGGAGGAGAGTATGCTGCGGAAGCGTGAGGAGAAGGCCCAAGCGGAAGGGCCTGCTCTGAAACCATATTGAAAGAGGTTGAGCCTAGAAGAAGCTAGGCATATGAAAATGTCGAGAGGTTTAGCTAGGGGGGAAGAGTTACGAGAGAAAAGAGTGATAACTAGGAAGAGAAAGAGATACAATAAGGGGGGGTTGTCCCCTCTACAGTAGGATTCAGCAATATAGCACACCTACCAAGCCTAAATATATATATAATATATAATATATATACATATATATAATTTGACAAGTGCCTTTAGGATCGCGAATCCGATGGCTGAGAAACTTCGCAGATTCAAGTATTGGTTCGACAAATGATCAGTTGTTCGGATTGGCCCAGTAGCGAGGCAGTCATCCTCTGTTGGCGATGTATGGTCGCTGGAAACGCATGTGGAATGTGTACACAGTCTAGGTAAAAATGAACAGTAGATGGGTTGTTACTGATGCGATCATCCATCTGGCTAATGGTAAACGGCCCAGAGTAGCAGCAGCAAAGCTTTAGGACTATGGGCAGTCGAATGTTGTAAGTGTCGAGTAGTACTATGTCTCCTATCTCGTAAGTGGCTGCTCTGCGGTGAATGTCCGCACTTAGTGAATTATGTCCGCTTGCTTGATGGCAACAGTTGCTTGCTCGCAAGCATTCTATAATATTTCGGCAAACTGTTGGGCTTGTAAGACAGGATTTTCGGCGTCCGGGGTGATGGGTACTTTTGGGTCTTGTCTGTAGTTTGAGGTAGAGCGGTGATTGGCACGTCGTAGCTGATAGGCCATTGTTCTATGTGAACTCAATCAGTAACACTTGTTGTTCCTAGTCTGCCAGACGTCGCAGGTGACGTGAATCAGCCGCTCCATCGTCTGATTGGCTCGTTCAGTTTGGCCAACAGTTTCGAGATGGCATGTTGATTAAAACTGTAGATGAGTTCCGAACTGCTCCCATAAATTAAAAAAAAAAAAAAAAAAAAATCGCTGCACGTGTCTCGGCTAGTGCTGATCTTTGGATTTTCACTACTCTGAAATCTCGAAGTGACTTTCACCACTACTCTGAAAATCAGAGTGGTTCTCAATATTTCCCTGAGACTTCAGAGTAACCCTATGTTATGGAAATTTGTACTCTTACAAGACAGGGTGCCTTATTGTAATTTCACCCTCTTGATAGTGTGTGTTATTAGATACCGTGGTTTTAGGGGGCCAGGTTCTCTTGCAATAAAATATAGTATTACATTACATCATTCACTCATCAGCATTATCACATCGTCGTCACTATCGCCCATGACAGTCCCATCGTCGGATCTCTCTGCAGCATCCCTCTCTGGGGCGATCACGGGAACCTCTTGCTGATAAGCTACGTTCCTACCTGGCCTATAGTCCTTTTTTCGCCTCCAGATCTCTGCTATCCCACTATGCACAACAGCAGCGGCTACAATCCCACTATGCAGAGCAGCAGCGGCTACAGTTCCACTATGCACAGCAACAGCGGCTACGGTCCCACTATGGGCAGCAGCAGCATTTACGGTCCCACTATGCACAGCAGCAGCGGCTACGGTCCCACTATGCAGAGCACCAGCGGCTACGGTCCCACTATGCACAGCAGCAGCGACTACGATCCCACTATGCACAGCAGCAGCGGCTATGATCCCACTATGCACAACAGCAGCAGTGATTGTCCGATGTATGGCAGCAGCCAACAGAAATGGCATCACTCGTAGCAGCTGCGGAAATGGCGGCCACTCATAGCATGTGCTGTGGGATGGAATTATCTGCTATTATGCTAGCAGGGTTGTAAGGGCATGGAACGTAGGGAGTGCCAGGGGGCTTGATTCTCCCCACCATCGACGTCGTCGCGGGATCAACCGCCTGGCATGGCGGACTCTGGCAGCGAGAGAGGGCAATTGCTGAAAAAAGGACTAATGGGGGGAATGAAAATGCTCAAATGCTGTGAGAGAGGCTAAAGTGGAAAAGGGGGGGCGCGAGGAAAAACACGTCTCCAATAAGGACCATGGAATCTGCCAGCAAGGGCGGGACTGATGTGGGCCAGCTGGACGGTCCGCGTGAACACGATGTGGATGTAGGCATGCATGTAGGCAAGGGGGTACACAAAAATCCGGGGGTATCCCCCCTTATAGAGGGACCCTCAGGGTGGTACAGAAGGAAACTCTGGCTTATTAGAGAAAACATATAAACTCAAAATTTACCCAATGGCATAAGGGTGGTACAAAAAATCAGCTATGACAATCAGAGAGTCCGAAAAATTTACTCGTGAAAAATAGGCACTGGTCTCGGCCAGATATGATGGCACATGGAATTCCGTGGAGTTCAAAGACGGTCGATATGAAAACTCATGCAGTTTCCCTAGCTGAGATGCTTTTCTTACATAAAGCAAAATGTGCTATTTTGGTCAACTTGTCAACGATAACAAGGATTCCATCGTTGCAACCGTTCATTGCAGGGAGTCGCATAATACAATCCATCGTCACGTGCTGTCATGCTCGCTCGAGTCGTGGGACTGGCGGCAACTATTCGGCTCACGCGTAGTTCAAAGCCACGT